CAATGGTCGTTATTTTGGCTGCCCACTTAGTTGCTACTCCTGCCTTTTTTTATTATTATTATTATTTTGAGGTGGAGTCTTGCTCTGACACCCAGGCTGGAGTGCTCAGCTTGGCTCACTGTGACCTCAGCCTCCTGAGTAGCTGGGATTATAGGCACCCACCACCATCCCTGGCTAATTTTTGTATTTTTAGTGGAGGTGGGGTTTCACCTTGTTAGCCAGGCTGGTCTTGAACTCCTGACCTCAAGTGATTCACCCACCTCAGCCTCCCAAAGTTCTGGGATTACAGGCATGGGTCACTGTGCCCAGCCCCTGATTCCTTCTTTGCTAATAGATCCCTGACATCTGTATTTCCAGCCAAGGGGCTGAATTATGATAACTCACTCACCTTTACCAATGATTGGTTTAGGGCTTAATTTATGACCTGTTTCTGGCCAATGAAATATTAGGATAAGTCAGCTGCTGGCTTTTAAAAAGGGTTTTCTTCCTATCAGGGAAGAGGCATGTCCTTTGCCATAATTCTCTCTCTCCTTATTTTGGACATGATGCTTTGGAGGTGATGCTCAGAGCTGTGGTATCCATCCTGTGGTCATGAGGAGCAATATTGAAAGTACTCTGAGATTGGCAGAATGCAAAGAACCAAAAGGGCCTAGGTGCCTGACAAAATCAGTGAGCTGCCAAGCCAGTCTTGGGACTGACAGCCTTTAGATGTCTCATTAAGTAATAAATGACCACATGGTTTAAGCCACTGTTAGCTGGGTTTTCTGCTACTTGCAGCCAAAAGCATTCTTAATTAACAAGCTACTTCTCATTCTTGACTTTTTCCCTTTATCCTTTTGTTATTTTTAAAATTTTCAAATTATTTTTTAATAAAAGAAATCTCTACTTGGGGCTTATTTTTATCTTTCTATTTATAATAGATTTTCCTTCATTTTCTTATCATGCTATCTGGACTCCCCTTGACTCCTTATCTCAAAGATAAGAGCTAACTTAGGCCTTCTGTATTCAAGAGTTGTGTTATATCTGCTTTTCTGTTGTCTGAGATGGTGGCAAAAATGGGACTGAGTGAGATCTGGAAGAAAGTGTGGAACCAGGACTATAGGTATCACAGTTGGGGGATTTTGACACTGCCTTGTCTATAAGTTAGTTAAAAATCCTGTACTGAGGTTTACTCTGCAGAGTTGGAGCTATTTCTGATCCTGTGAGAAAAGCCGGTGGCTTCCAAGTTGTTCACCAAGTCCCTGGTGAACTCAGAGCCTTTTCTTCTCTCAAAGACAAGCTGCCATCAGTAATTCTTTTCCCCTCTCCTCTCCCTGCTTGCTTCTCCTGCTCCCTTCTGAGATTTAGGTGGGAAAGGCATGAAAAAAATGGATGAATAAAGGAGTTCATCCCCATTGTCACTTCTCTGCTTGCATATTTTGTTTTCACCAGCTAGTGAAACAAACTAATCACAATTCTTAGTAGTTCTTGCAACTCTGATAAATGAATATCTGCTTTTCTCTCGTGGTATAAAGAGGCAACCATTTAAAGGGATTCTGAATCTTTTTCTCTTGAGCTGCTTCTCCAACTACAATTCCTCACAGTTAGCCTACTTCCTTCCAAATTGAAGTGTATCAATGAGCTTTTTCAGTCATTGTTTCTTCAGATTTTTGTCCACTGTACTGCTTCTGGAGGAGTTCAGCATAAGCTACAGTTTCCAGAATCTTCTCTCTGTAGATGAAATTTCAAAACCCTTATAGTATGGCGTTACTCCTTAGTTTGAAAGCTTCTTTTTTTCCTCTTTGGCTATTCTTACTTATTTCGTACATTTTGTTAGATTTGGAAGCAGAGAAATTTCTTGATCCTGTATTTTCTTTCACAGAGAATCTGTGAAATTGGAAGAGTTTATTGATAGCACTACTTCTATTGCTATGTATTTTTAGCAGTATCTAGAAGTACATGTACAAGAGAGCTGTGGCAATTACAAAGATTATTTGGACCACAATTACCTCAAAATCTACCTGAAACACCCATGTAATTGCAGGAAAAATACATTTTTTTAAAATTTGAAAGTATTCTGATAATAGCTGCAGTTATATCCTCCACTTTGCATGTGCAGGCACAAACTGAAGATTCTGAAATGGCACCCATCGTGCTGAGTTGAGATTGGCTTTGTGTTATTCTGACCAGTTACAGTTTGTCTTCTATTATTATTAGCACGTGTCCCATACTTCTGGTTTTACCAACCCATACAATAGAAGATTGCTTATTTTACTGAGAATAAAATCTTAAAGGTGACTGTGGGAATGATAAGTTCATTTTGCCACATTGAAGGCAGACTTTCTAGGAAAATATTGACTTCCTATCATGTAGATGACTAAAATGCTGCAGAGAGCAACCTGCACCTCAGGTGATAGCACTGACGAGCCAGTAGGCTTACTGAAGAGTCTTGTCTTCTCTTCTGGTAAGCTGGGTTTGAAGCAAGTTCAGACTCTGATATGAGAATGTATCATTTCAACTGTAAAGACTGGTGTGGATCGTGTGGACTGGATGTTCCTCAAGACCCACCGAAGGGCACTTCTAGACTACTAGGACTCCAGACACTGGAGGTACTCCTGATGCCATCACTTTACCAATCTCACTTGCTGCCAGAATTCAGATGTGATTTACATCAGATCCAGTTGCTTGGGACTTTGATTTAAAACTGAATTATAACACTAATGAGATGTCCCATTTTCTCCATGCATACTATTAAGCATTTAAAAAAAGTTTTTAAAAACTCTGAGTCAGGAAGCACATAAGTTATAGGAGGGGAGAAATAGGCTGTGGGCATCCTCTTCCTAGCCCAAACTGAGGCAGAGGCAGTGTGGCCTGGAGCAGGCAGCCCTAATGGAAGATTCCAGATTCTGCAACTTCCTGACTGTGGCAGGAGCGGCAGTGTTCTTGACAGCCTGGTTCTGTGATGAGGTTTCCAGAGTTGATTCTGGAAGCTCAACCTAGAGCCAGCATCTTTGCCACTCACTCCTGAAGACTACCCTATAATAAGTCTCTTTCTGCTTGAAGTAACTAGAATAGATTCTGAGGCCTGAAACTAAGATCTCTGAGCAACAGCAGGACCATGGGAGAAAGACTGTTAGGTCAGAACTTGACTACCATGTGTTGGTTCTCTTGAGTCTCAGAGATGGAAAACACAGGCCTCTATGAGGAATTACCCCTCCACCAACTGCATTCAGAGGGCCCATTTTAACTGCAGGAGCAAGGAAAATGGTCCTATGGAGATCTAGGGCATTATTCTCAGAGATGTGTCCTGTTGGAAGGACTGGTGGCATCTGGAAGCATGAAGGAGCATGCAGAGTCCAAGAACTCCCACCAAATCTTCCTTCTCCAAGGCTGCTCTTTTCCCAGCAAGAGTGTTACATCAGTTAGGATGGCTTGGCTGCAAGTAATAGAAAACTGTCTTACAAAATAAGGAGCCCACAGATAGGGCATCTCTATTATAAGTTAATTCAGATGTTCAGTTACGTTATTGTGGCACAGGTTCTCTCCACCGTTCTGTTCTGTCAAGACAAGATGGTTTTGACTTGGAGGTTAGCTCCCAGAGGGGTTGTTAAATGTTTGTCCCTGGCTTTGGTTTCATTCAGATACACTAACATACGTTTGAAGAAAGGTTTGCATTTTTTTATTGATATAGAATAGTTGTACATACTTTGGGGTTACATGTGATATTCTGATACCTGTATATGGTGTACAGTGGTCAAATCTGGGTAATTATGATATCCATCACCTCAAATATGTATCTTTTCCCTGTGTTGGAAACATTGCAGAGCTTCTTCTCTAGACATTTTGGTGTGTGCAATAAATTATTAACTATAGTTTTCCTCCCTACTATTGAATACTAGAACTAGCCCCTTCTATCTAACTGTACTTTTGTACCAAAATGTGCATTTTTCTGTCTGTGTGTGTGTGTGTGTGTGTGTGTGTGTTTTAATGAATGTTGGAACTTTGTTTGGATGCTCTTAGCAGCCACTTCCTCCCGCCTTACTGGTTTCGTGCTTCTGCCTAACCCATTCTCTAGCCAGGGGAATGGGAGCTCAGGAGTTGAATTCAGTCAGAATTTACCCTGGCTTGTGAGATGGATTCACTTCTCCCTGAGAGTAAACCCAAATAAAAAAAATTTGCTGTGACAGCAAAGAAGAATGGGAGGATGGCTGTTAGGCAACCAACAGGGTCACTTCCCAGGGTGTAGCCCATGTGGGTTTCATTTTGTGTTTTAAGCTTAATATTTTTTCCCTATTTTTAGTGAGAAAGTAACATGCTCTTAAATAGAAATAAAGTAACCAGTACAAAAAGGCTTATTAAAAAAAAAAAGACTCTCTACCTATCTTTATGTCATAACTTATACAAAAATTATGAAATATCATTAAGAGAAAAATTTTAAATTCTAAGCAAATGAAGGAGAACATTTTAAAACTTTAAGAAAATGAAGGAAAATAACATATTTATGGATTAAAAGTACTGACATTGAAAAGATTCTACCCAAATTGATTATAGATTCAATAAAATCCCAGTTAAGACCCAGCAAAGTTTTTCTAAGAAGTCAACAATTTGTTTCTAGTATTTGTGTGAAAATGCAAAGGGCACAATATCCAAGACAACCTTAAGAAGAAAAAACCTGGAGACTATATACGCAGGACATTGTGACTTATTATAAAGTTCCAGTCATAAAGACAGTGTAGAGTTGGTACTAGGAAATATAAAAACATATCCATTCATATCCAATGACTCAATTATGACATAGTTTTTGTATAGAGGGGGGAAGAATGGTCTTTTAAAATAAATGGTACTGATTAAATTGGATATCTATATAGACAGTATAGGTAGTATTTTTCACCATTTGCTTAGAGCTTTTAAATTTTATTTTAACCATATTTTATATTTTTTGTATATACTTTTCCCCACATTAATAAAATTCCCTTCTATTTCTAATTTGCTAAGACATTTTATCACAAATAGATTTTGAGATCCTTTTGTAGTTCATAAATGTGATGATTTTTTTTCACTCATATGTGAGATATACCTTCCTTAAAGGTTGTTATACCATCAGCACAATACTCATCTGACAGGAAAAAGAAATATTTTGACTCTCATCAAATACTTTTTTGCGTCTATTGACATAATCATGTGATTTTTCTACTTCACTTTGTTAATGTGTCTAATTACATTGATTCATTCTCAAATTCTAACACTCACATTCCGGGAATAAAAGTCACTTAGTCATGATGTAGTAACCATTTTATATATCACTGGATTTAATTTACTGTTTTTACAAAAATTCTTATATATATTTCATGAGAGAGCTTGGCAAGTAATTTCCTTTTGAGTAATGTTCTTTTCAGAATTTAATATCAAAGTTTTGCTGGCATCGTAAAATATGTTGGGAAGTGTTTCTTCTTTTTCTTTTATCTTGAAGAATTTTAAGAAGATTCCACTAGTGAAGTCATCTGGTCTGAGGAAAGTTTTTTGTGGAAAAGTGTTAATTTATAGGTTCAGTTACTTTACTACATATAGAACTACTTATGTTTTGTATTTCTGTTTGTCAATTTTGGTAAGACCTATTTTTATAGGAACTTTCTCATTTTCCCTACATTTCCAAATTTATTGGCATAAAGTATTTCCTTATATCCTCTTTGTTTTGAGACAGGGTCTGACTCTGTTGCCCAAGCTGGAGTGCAGTGGTGTGATTTCAGCTCACTGTAAACTCCACCTCCTAGGCTCAAGCAATCCTCCCACCTCAGCCTCCTGAGTAGCTAGGACCACAGGCACACACCACTACACCCAGCTAATTTTTTTTGTTTTTTGTTTTTGTTTTTGTATTTTTAGTAGAGACAAGGTTTCACCATGTTGCCCAGGCTGGTCTCCTGAGCTCAAGCAGTACTCACACCTCAGCCTCCCAAACTGTGGGATTATAGGCATGAGCCATGCCCCCAGCCCCACTCTTCTTTTGTAATATCTCTATTGTCTAGAGTGATGTAAACCTTTTCATTCTGGCATTGATGATTTCTTGTCTCTCTTTTTTTTTTTTATCTGTCCTTGCAGATGCCCATTAATTTTACTAATCTTTGCAAATGATAAACCTTTAGCTTTTTATTTTTCTCTATTTCACACTCATTTTTTATTCATTAATTTCTTCTCATTTTTTATATTGACTTTCATCTATTTCAGGTTTAATTTGCTGTTCTTTTTCTAACTTCTTAATAATACTTAGCGAATTGCCATTTCAACTTTTCTTCTTTCTAAAATATGCATTTATTGCATAAATCCCCCGGAATGCAACTTTAGCTACATCCAATGAGTTTTAACATATTGAATTTTCATTATTATTCAAGCAAAAATGTTCTAATTTTTATTGTAATTTCTCACTTAACCTGTATACTATCATTATTATTATAAAATTTCCAAATAGCATTTTCTCATTTTTTTAAGTTTAATTCTACTATGATCATAAAACATACTATGTATGATTTCAATCCTTTGAGATTTTCTGAAATTTGCTTTATGGTCCAACAAAATATCAGTGTCAGTCAATGGGCCACGTGCACTTAGGAGAAATGTGTATTCAATTGTTAATTGTGTTGTTCAAATCTACATACATATTTCTCCTTTTTTCCAACATATTTCCTTTTCTCCCCCTACGTGTTCTATTAGTTATTCAAAGAAGTATCTTATCAACTTGCATTTTGGCAGTAGATTTGTCTATTTCCTTTTTTTGTTTCTGTCAATTTGCTTTATATATTTTAAAGCTATATTAAGTGCATATATTTTTTCATTTAATGTATTTTGTTGGTGGATTGGCCATTTTATGTATAAGAAACACCCCTCTGACTCTCTAGTGATGCTTCTTGCCTTAGATTCTACTTTGTATATTGATGTAATTATACTGGTTTTGGGGGGTTAATGTTTGCATTTTGTATTAAGCCAGTGTCCCTGAGAAGCAGACTTTGAGTACAGAAGGTGAGAAGTGAACCTAAGAATACCGTTAAGGTGGCAGGAGTAGACACAGAAGGGAAGCAGGAGTGAGGTGGCAGGAGCAGACCTGGGAGGAAGGAAGCTGACACCGCATGCACTAGTGAGCTGTTGGCTGTGGACAGCTAGGACTCACTTCTCCTCCAGGAAGTCTCCTCTAGGCTTCTCAGTGGCTTTGCTGGGAGACTGCATGGAAACACCTAGGAGTCTCTCCACCTGAAGGTGAGCAAGCTGGAGTGTTTACCACCAGCTCACATCCTCATTAGACAAGGGCTGCTCCTGAAGGCCTCAGCTTCTCAGAATTTCTGCCCTGTCCCATTTCCCACCAGCCTGCGTTCCCCACCGGCCTGCTTCCAGGGTTAAAGAATGCCTTCAGGCAAGACCCAGTGCTACATGCCATTGAAAGACATCTGGAAAGTCATGGCAAATGCCAAGGAAGAAAGCAGGGCATTCACAGTGTCTTCTACTCATGGAATCTATTTCCCCATTCTTTTGCTTTCGACCTTTTTTGTGTCCTTATATTAAAAATGTGTCTCCCATAAGCAGCCTATAACTGTTTCATCCCACCCAGGGTGACCATCTTTGTCTTTAAATTTAGACAATTAGTTCATCTACATGTAATGTAATTACTAATGAATTTGATTTTGTAATTATGTTCCATTTGTTTTCTATTTGTCATGTTTTATGTTCATTTTTAAAATTTCTTGCCTTTGTTTGGATAATTCAATTTTAAAATTATGTTATTCTCCTCTTCTGCTATTAAAATATATTTTTTGCTAGTGTTTTGGTTTTTACCCTAGAGATTCTAGACTAAATACAGTCAAATGCAAATTATACTTTTACTATCTCCTCCTGGATAATCATGGACCTCAGAACTGAGATCTGGAGCATTTACTAGGTAGGCAAATGGACATCTTTTGTGGGTCCTGGACTCCATTTTTTAATTTTCTAAGGACTGTGAGGCAGTCTTCCAAAAACCCTCTGCTCTGCTTCTCAGTTGCTTTCCACTTATCTTCATCTCTTGCCCTCTGCAGCTAAATATTTGCCAATGCATTCAGAGGGAAACCATTTGTTATTGGGCTATTTCCCTGCATCTCCTCTCTCACCAGGATCTTAACCACTCAAATCTTTGGCAGCACCCCCACTCCAACTTTTTTTTTTTTTGAGACAAGGTCTCACTCTGTCACCCAGGCTGGAATGCAGTGGTGGGATCTCAGCTCACTGCAACTTCTGCCTCCCAGGTTCAAGTAATTCTCATGCCTCAGCCTCCTAAGTAGCTGGGCCACTCAGCTACCATGCATGGCCACCACGCCCAGCTAATTTTTATATTTTCAGTAGAGATGGGGTTTCCCATGTTGGCCAGGCTGGACCCGAACTTCTGATCTCAGATAATCTGCCCACTTTGGCCTTCCAAAGCACTGGGATTACAGGCATGAGCCACTGCACCCGGCCCCCAACTCCAACTTTTGTCTCCTCAGTTCTGTGAGAGCCCCCAAAGCTCTGCAGGCTTCTCTGTTCCTTAACAGCTAGCAAGAGAGTGAAAGTCCACCTTGACTTTCACTCTCTTGCCAGCACCAAGAGTCAGCAAGTGCCCCAGAAGGGAAAGCGAATTCCCGGATATCTGCCTACTTGGACTGTCCCGTTTCCCCTGGTTGCCTTAGCAGCTATTCATATGCCTTCAACAATGTTTTATGTGTATTATCTAGCTTTTCTGGTTGTTTTGATGAGAGGAACAATCTGTTACAAGTTACTCTAGCATAGCCAGGAGTGAAAATTCTTCTAGAATGTATTTACTCTGTCATTTTTTTGACGGTCATTTAATTTTTTCCCTAGTCTCCACCTATTATAAAAATTATAGCAAGAAGTAAGTCTGGACATCTGTCTTTGCTGACGTGTGTATGTGGCTGTCGAATTCCTAGAAAAAGAATTTCTTGGTCAAAGAAAGGATGCATTTGAAATGTTGATAGCTCTTAACTAAATTTTCCTCCCAAGAGATTTATCAATAAAGTGTGAGAGAGTGTGTTTCCCCAAAGAGTGTGTGTGGTTTTATAGAAGAGGTACAGGAGTTTCTTCAGAGGTACCTGAAGACAGGAAGATGAATGTGTCTGCTTAAATTCTTGGTCCCCCCATATGGCCTCAGTACAAGATGGAAGGGATCCCCTTCCCAAAGTGAAAAATCCATGTCTATGCTCAAAGTATCTTTGCTCCATAATAGTACTAGAACCCAAGGAAAGTAAAAACTAACTGAGCCACAAAGAAGAACAAGTTTAAAACTTAAGCCTACTCATGAGAACATTATTCTTTAAACTTCAATGCTATAGCAATACTATCTAGTAAGATAATTGTCTCCAAAGGGATGAAACAAGGCCAAGAAATCAAAGCTCTCCAGCCTCTTCTAAGTTTGCTTCTGATGCCTGCCTCTTAGCCTTGCTTCTTCCAGCAGGCCCCAGCTGCCTCTAGGCTCCACTGTGCCAATATTCTTAGAGCAGCCTGGTTTGCTGGCATGTTTTTGCCTGAGTATTCCATTTCTCACACCCTCTGATGGCCATTTTATTTTATTTTTAAGTGGGGAACTAACATAGGTGGCCTGAAGTACAATAGTAACTTCCTTGAATCATGCTGTCCTGGCTAACTAATGTCAATGAGATAACTAAGGCACATCCAGAGGTCACATTCTGGGCCTTTAAAAGCACTCACACAAACTCAGTTGTTTCGTCTAGACAGTTATCTTCTTCCACTGGGCCTCTTTGCTGACTTATGTCAGCTTTGAGCTCAGATTAGCCTGTGAAATTTACCTGGCTAAAATTCAGTTTGGCCTGACTTTGCCATTCTTGATTCCACTTTTGATTCAGACTGAAATATAAGGTAAACCTATTTTCAATGCATGCTTTAAAATAAGATGAACATGGACTTGAAGAGATTTATTTGCCTCATGTGAGAAGAAGTCTGGGTTTAAGTAGATTAGGGCTGGAGCAGTAGCTCAAGGATGCAATCTGGGAATAGAGCATTTTTTCTTCCTGCTCTCCTGCCCTGAGGATGACTGATGTACCTCCAGCATCAAGCTCAAATTCTAGTCAAGAATTAAAAAGCAGCAGAAGA